GTGGAACTGTTGAGGCGGGTCCAGAGGAGGCCACGAAGATGATCCGAGGGCTGGAGCACCTCTGCTATGGAGACAGGCTGAGAGAGTTGGGGATGTTCAGCCTGCAGAAGAGAAGGCTCTGGGGAGACCTTCCAGCAGCCTTCTGGTACTTAAAGGGGCTACAGGAAAGCTGGAGAGGGGCTTTTGACAAGGGCACGTAGTGATAGGACAAGGGGCAATGGCTTTAAACTGAAAGAGGGGAGATTTCTATGAGATCTAAGGAAGAAATTCTTCCCTCTGAGGATGGTGAGGCACTGGCACAGGTTGCCCAGAGAAGCTGTGGCTGCCCCATCCCTGGAAGTGTTCAAGGCCAGGTTGGATGGGGCTTTGAGCAACCTGGTGTAGTGGAAGGTGTCCCTGTCCATGGCAGGGGGGTTTGGAACTGAACAATCTTTCAGGTCCCTTCCAACCCAAACCGTTCTGTGATTCTAAGATGATTTAATTTTGTAACTTGCTTTCGCTTTGGATAAATGAGAAGATTCTCCTTTGAACTTGCTATTTCCTTTGTCCCAACTTTTAGGCTTGTATGTATCGGTTTAGCTTAGCTTTATGTTTTAGGGATGGTGCTACATGCTATCTGGCACAGTCATCCCTCTGTTTGCCCCTCCCAGGTCCCTTGTGCAGTCCCTGTGCTGCATGGGGACTCTTCCAAGCAAGGCAGCTGTGACTGATGGGTTAAAAACAGGGTGCGTGCACCGGCTGGAAGCTGCTGTGGGCTGGCTGCGTGTGCTCGGGGGCTTTGTCTTGGCTCTGATGCCAGCTTGAAGCCCTGATGCCCGCTCGGTTGCCTGCCTGCTCCCAGCCCAGAGCTGGAGGCTTCCCGTGGCTGGGAAGATGGGATCCAGCATCGTCTCCTGTCTGGCGGTGAGGCAGAGTGTGGCCCTGGAGAACAGGGACTTGGTTGGTAAATCCTAGTTCTGCTCTGCATCCACTTCCCCGCAGCTGGCAGCTGCCTGGGCCCCGTGTGTGCCCCGGCACTTACCTTCGAGGCACTGGATCGTCTTGGATAAAACCAGGTAAGTGCCGCAGAGGCCCCAGGAAAAGATGGAGGAGCTGGGGGGGGGGGCCACGTAACCGGGGAGATTTGGGAAAATAACGTCCTGTCCCCCCGGTGTGGTGGGGAAAAAACAAAATCTAGGAAAAACAAGGTAAAAAAAAAAATCTTCCAACACCATTTTGGAATGAGCTGTTGCTGATTTTTCTGAATGTTGCTCCACAAAACCTATGGTGCTGCCCTTCGGCTCATCCGGTGACCGTCTGCGCTGCAAATTGAGTTCATTTCGGAGCTGCTGGTAGTTAAAACGGCCACGTGCTGCGTGACCCATCCCGTTGACGCTGCCACAGGCTCCTGGCAGCCTTTGCCTGCAGACATGGTGCTTCCAACAAAATCCATGGAGCTTTTGCAACAGCTTTTCCTCTGCCCTTGCAGAATACTTTTTCCTGCCCTTGTGCATTGCTGAGCTCAGCCTGGGCAGCGCCGGTGCCTCGCGTGGAGCCCGGCTGGGCGGCCGCACTTCCCTGGCTTATTGTGCCGCACTTCCCTGGCTTATTGTTTGTGGGTCTTGCAAAAGAAACGGTCCTGGTAGGGCTGAGATTCTCTTGGAGCAACATGATGGAGACGTGGATGCTCCTGGTGAGCTGAGAGGAACAGACATGGGACAAACAGGCTCTTTCAAGAGGATTTGGGCTAAGCAGGGCGGGGACGGAGCCCTGGGAGGGGGATGTGGGGCTGTGCTGTCTCCTGTGGGCGCCCTCGGCTTTAATCTCACCGATAATTAAGTTTCACCCAAATGTGATTACACTGCTCCTGAGTTCCGGGGCTGTGGCCGATCACTGACCTGGTCTGTTTTGGGTGCCAGGGGAAATAAATGGGTTTGGATAAAGCCCAAGAGGGTAAATGGTGGTGGGGTGAGCGTGGGAGTGGGGCAGCCCCCCAGCACGGGGGTCCTGAACAGGCTTGAGGGAGGGACGGACCTCGCTGAGCCCCTTGCTGGGAAACCCAGGGGTAAAAATAACCTCCCCGAAATAGCTGGGTGCTGTGGACGTCCCCAGCTGTCACCCACCGCACGGCTGTTCCTGACTGTGCCAAGAAAGAC